CAGGGTAGTGTGGCAATATGTGAATCCAGGGAATTGATGAGATGAGAATTGGTCATAGCAGTCTGGGGGTTTTGTCTTGTAAGGGTTGAACCTAATGGAGGCTGCCACTCTTTGACTTAGCACATATTAATTCTGGGACAGTTATGCCCTTTGCAGTGAAGCTGACCAGGAACTGGTATACAGCCTATGAGTCATAGAAGGAACGTCCAATTTGGGGGCTTCTCGGATAATTTGACTTGTGACATATTTTCTCTACAGCCATGTTGAAGTTGCCCAATGTATGATGTCTGGTGGACATGTGTGGGAGAAAACAATGAACTTCAGAGCGCCCTAAAAAGAAGGATCAGAGGTTCTTTTATATGGGCTACACAATTCTTCTTGCTTTGAGAATGTTTGCGTGCAGCAATTCACAGGAACACTTAAACTGCTGTATTGTTTATAATGGGATGAGTCGTAGGCCTGCACATAAAATGAAAGCTTTTTCTGGTTGCTTAGAGTCAACATATCTGTGTGTGGGAGGGATGCCAACACGGAGCTGTCAGCTATTCAGGAATTTCTGCACATTGTTTAGTATGACAATCACCCTAAATCCAACACATGCTGACTCAGCCTGCTGAACTGGGACATGTCTCCCAGTTCATTGTCACCAGGAAAAGGTTCTGTACATTTATAAGCATACCGAAAACGTAATTACTAAACCACATACAAATAAACTACCGGGATTAATTTAGAAGTTTGCAGTCTCAAATGTATTAGATTTATTATTCAGTACAATAGTATTAGAGTGAACCAAAGCCATAGTACCCTGAGGCCTCGTTCACACCGAAAGCGTGTGCGTTGCAGAGCGGTAGCTGCTGGAACGCACCGCGATCGCTAAGAAACTTCTCGCCGCGTTTTGGGGCGGGAGGGGGCGTGGCGGTGCATTGAATTCAATGGCACCGCTTCCACGCCCTTCCGCCCGCAGTGCGATCCAACGTGTGGCCAGACTTTGCCAGCGTTCCGTTTCACTGCAAACGCAAAACATAGGGCTTGCTCTATTTTGTGCATTTGCAGTGGAACACAACGCTGGCAAAGTTTTACCACGCGTTCGATCGTACTGCGTGCGTGGAAGCGGTGTAATTAAATTCAATGCATCGCCACGCCTCCTCCCGCCCGGGGAGAAGTTTCTTAGCGATCGCGGTGCGTTCCAGCAGCTACCGCTCTGGAACGCACACGCTTTCGGTGTGAACAAGCCCTGAAAGTACTGCAAAACCAGCAACTAATGGGTACATTAAAAAAAACAGAGCACTGATCGAGGATACCTTCACACCGTGGACTCTTGGTTAAATCTGTGATCAACATCTATTAGCCTGGTTAGATGATTTCATCAGACTATATAACCCTCTTGCCTATGGTGTCTGCAGTAAATCAGATTTGTAGGATACAAGAATTCAGGTACTGTATATGTCAATATGCCTTTCAGAATGGTATTTTTAGCGGCTGTAACAGTTCTGTAACAGCTGACTTCTATCTACAGGTTATGAGCAACATGACACTTAAAGTGGACCTTTAACCCCTTTCACTAAAAATCACATCAGTATGCAGCTCTGCATGCCGATATGAAATGATCTTACATTCATTAGTTAAACAAACTTGATTTTCATTTAGTTACAAATAGAGTTAATTTACTTCCTGGTCCAGTTCTGGCACAAATGATGTAATCTGCCCAAGCATTGCATCCTGGGAAGGTTACATCAGGAGATCTGATCTGTAATCTCATGATATCTCAGGGAAAGGCATTTTCCTCCCCTGAAATTATGTGCATGGTCACATGTCCTAGTCACATGTGCCAGAGTCCAGGAAGTAAAGGGAGATCTAGTAATCTGCCCTTAGCAAAAATGGCCACTGTCAGAAGACTGGGAAAGAAAAGAGAAACAAGGTATGCAAAGAATACAAAGCCTGCAATTATCTAGAAGTATGTGTTTGTAGATTTTCATTACTAAACATTTCTAAAAGTTGTGCCTGTTGCTATTTTAAAGATATAGGTAAAGGTCCGCTTTAACTTAGAAGCATCTGATGGAAGCGGACATTATTATTCTTGAAGATTGTATACTAACAGAGTGACGTTGTTCTCAGTAAGGCCAAATAGGTTGAGTCTCACTATCAAGGAACTCTTTTTAGTGTTGGATAGAATGCAGAAGGAAATTTCTTTGCTGTCTGTAACCCCACTGGGGATATTGTGAAGAGAGGTCACCAGCACTCAAGATGCATAGAAAGTAGTTTTTATTGTACGTTTACATCACATACATAGGTTTAAATGCCAATGAGTTGGGGCCATGCATTGCCCATTCCTCAAGGCCAGATTTACCCCACTCCCACCCAAACTGTATCACTGATGCAGGCGGTAAGGAGAAATCCCTCCAATGGGGACATAAACAACAATAAAATGTTACAGTAGTACTAACCCTCCTCCACTCAAAACAAATAGTACAATTTCAGCCACAGTTTCCCTTTAAGCCCTGGTTCACACCTAGGCGTATTGCATATGCGCGTCTGTCGCGCGGTTTTTTAACCGCGATTTGCGGTAAAAAAATCGCGCGACAAACACGCGTTTCCGAGGGCTACTTCGCTGTATCCCAATGGAAACGCGCAACAAAAACGGCCCAAAGTAGTACATTTACCTTTTCAGGCGTGGGCCGTTTTGTAGCGCGTTAGGGACGGGCTGAAATACGCCAAGGTGTGAACCAGACCCATTGAATACAATGGGATTTAGATGTTTGAGCATTTTGTAGAGCGTTCGTCGAGCGTAGAACGCGCTACAAAACGTTCAGGTGTGAACGAGGGCTAAGAGTTTGGCATGGCAGCTGATAACTAGTTTGGGATTAATGGATCGTCCATAAAGTGGACCAATGAATTTCAAATACTTCATAAGCAACACATGAATTTGTTTGACAGTTTGTTTTAAAACAAGTTTATTTTCTATTCATTTATTTAAAGAATAAAACACCTCCAGCTGTACACAGGCATCTACATCATCCGAACCTCCACAAAAAACAATATAATGAATAAAATTATCACAATTTATACTTTAATACCTGTTATATACATAACACAAGAAATTCCCCCAATCTCTTCTTCCTTCATTTTGTATTAACAAGTAATTAAAGGAGAAGCATTGACAGTAAAAACTACTCTTCCCAATACTTAGGGCCAGCGTGGAACACTGCAGCTGTCACATGCCAGCTCTACGTATGGAGAAATGAGTGATCACTAACTGCTGATCGCTCAGCTCACTTTGTCCTTCCTGCAAAGAGTGGTAACTGTCAGTCACTGCTCTCTGCAGGGATTCCCCTTTCCTCTCTCTGTTCCTTCAGCGCTCACTGGATGGACAGACAGGGGAGGGGTAGACACAGCTGGTTCTGACTCTACGAAGGCACAAACAGCTGTCAATCAGGAAGCTGGGCGGATTCCAACAATATTGTTGGGATCTTTCCTGGCTGCAGCATGGCTCTGCACTGTCAGCATATAGTGGACAGTAGCCCGCTATATGCTGACTTTGGGTCACAGGTTTTGGCTTTACTTCTCTTTCAAACGTTAACATTGATATTCATGGAATGAAAGCTAGATGTACCCTTTAAGTTTAACAGAAGTACTCCTAGAGACTTCCAATCCCCTGCAATATATCCATCTTACTTAGCCATCCACCTACTCCTTATAAAGACGTCATAGCATTATACACCTTCATTATACACCTTCTACACCCTTTTAAAACTATTATTAAAAGAAGATAAATCTCTGATCTTCTTAAAAAGTCAAAGCATCCCATTTCTTTTGAACTTAAAGAAAGGCCAGGCCTGCACTTTGATTATATAGACAATCTTATGCGAAATGCATCTAAATCAAGAAATCATTTATCTGAAAAGAGAGGAAGACAAAGAATGGACACTTTCCAAGTGCTGCAGGTAAACATTAATCTGTCCGGCCCCTTTGGAATAAACAGTACAAGAGAATGAAGAATGTGCTTCCTTCCTCAGCTGCTTGTCTTTTAATGTTTCTGCACTTACCTGTAATTACCTATTTTCACATCTGGATTTTTTAATCTGCACGAGTTACTGACATAAAACATATTTTATTTTCTTTTGATATTAGAACATGACGGAAAAGGACCTGTGATTTGGTTAGTTTAAAAGCAAAAAAGAACTTTGATAATGTGTAAACTGTTGAAATGCTTGAACATCAATGGGGGCACAGGTGTATATTTAAAGGTCCACTTACATTTAAACAAATTTTCAGCTATCAATGTATAATGGAAAACCTTAGTTTTAAAGCAACTCTATCGCTATTAACAAAAGTAAGACTAAGCTATTTCTGCAAGGAAAAGGTTTAATATTAATCCAACCCCACTTTGACACAATCTACTGTCTTCAAGAGACAATCTTGTTAAAGAATCTTTACTTTCTGAACATTTTTAGGTGCACTGGATACTTTTCCTCTGCTGCTCTCTCTGGTTCGTTCACCCGTCTCGAGCTCAATGTAGGGTGTTGGGGTCAGCAGATGGAACCACAAAGAGCACCGGGGGACACCAGCATCAGACACTGTCCAATACAGAACATTTTTTTCAGCCACTCTCTAATAACTCTCATGTACACTGCTTGTACTAGAGTGAGATGTTGCAGAGGGCATGGCTATCAGCATTGTCGCTTCTAAGTCACAAGCTTTTGGATTTTCTGGATTAACAACACTGCCTCTGTTGCTAAATCCCTCCCACTGTGAGCTGCAGTGTCCGGGAGGGGAAATGAGTGAAGCACAGATGAATGCCGATTTGTCTCCCTCAGGGGAGTTAAAATACGTTTTTTTTGTTTACTTTATGAAGCTTGTGCATTGCATAGTAACTGGATTTTCGACTTTTTAGACTATCACAGAGACATTTTTGTTTACTACAATGTTCATAAATTATCCCTGGCATTTACTACTGGACAGAAGGCATGCTGGAACATCTCAAAACTATTTCAAACACTTACCACCAAAAATTCTTCTCTGTCCACCATCTGATTTCCATCTGTGTCAAACATATTAAATGCAATCTTGAAACCCGCATGCGGTTCTGAAAATACCAAAGAAATATGAGTTTAAAATGTTTTTATTTGTAAAATAACATGTTTAAATAAAAGGAAACAGTTCATCTTTAAACCTATTACTTTTAATTCAACATCCTGATTCATAATAATTAAATGGCCTTTGACTGATGGCACTGTAGGTAAGAAATAATCATTCAGTATGTGATTTCATAAAAAAGTATCAAATAAGTCGCTATGGGTTATTGTACTTTGACTTCTGAGTAAGCCTAATGACATAGGTTATGTTAATATCTTCCAAGGCATGGCAGCTGGCATGGTACAATGTATCTTGAAAAATTCAACTAGTTTATTAGTAATGTGGCTTCCTTGTAAAAATGTAAAGATAATACTGGTGTACTGGCAATGTGACTCCCTTGTGAAAATGTAAAGATAATACTGGTGTAGTGGTAATATGGCTTCCTTGTAAAAATATAAACTTCAAACTGGTGTACTAGTAATGTGGCTCCCTTGTAAAAATTTAAATTTTAGACTGGTGTACTGGTAATGTAGCTTCCTTGTCAACATGTAAAGATAATACTGGTGTACTGGTAATGTAGCTTCCTTGTCAACATGTAAAGATAATACTGGTGTACTGGTAATGTAGCTTCCTTGTCAACATGTAAAGATAATACTGGTGTACTGGTAATGTGGCTCCCTTGTAAAAATGTAAATGGTATACTGGTGTACTGGTAATGTGGCTTCCTTGTAAACATGTAAAGATAATACTGGTGTACTGGTAATGTGGCTTGCTTGTAAACATGTAAATATAATACTGGTGTACTGGTAATGTGGCTTGCTTGTAAACATGTAAAGATAATACTGGTGTACTGGTAATGTGGCTTCCTTGTAAACATGTAAAGATCATACTGGTGTACTGGTAATGTGGCTCCCTTGTAAAAATGTCAATGTTATGCTGGTGTCCTGGTAATGTAGCTCATTTGTCTAATACAATAAGCTGCAGGTAAAATCTAGTACAGAGAGTGATAAAATTAATATGAGCATTGGAGGGTTCACAAGCTATGGGCCTATGCTTCATCTATTAAACTATTTCTCATGCTTGCATTATATTAGAACATATTTTCAGTGTTACAGTATACAAAGCTATAACTGTACAGCTTCTTTGGAAATAGCCCTTTCAGCTTCCACTGGTTATGACAAGGTATGCTTGCTAATTTACAACTGTTGTGTGGTGTATTTATCAAAATAATCAGCCCATTGCTCTATGTTCCCTAACTAACCTTTAGGCCTGGTTCACACCTTGGCATTTTCAGTTTCGCACGATTTTATCTGCGTGTTTTTCCATTTAAAAAACCTGTGTTTCTCCCTGCATAGAGATATCTATTGGGACCAAACTGCACAACATCTGCCTGAAAATATCTCCTGCATCTTTTTGCATGACAGGCATTTTCTTACGCATGATGCAATGCTATGGTGTGAACAGTCACCATTGATTTGCATGGAAATGTGGGGTTTGCGCATTTTCGCACGCTTAGATCCCATTAAAACGCTCAGGTGTGAACCAGGCCTTAGAGGCAATCACTGCAAACAAGCGATTTCTGTAGTGCTCAATGACACTTCTGGACTATCAGCAGGTAGTCTGGCTAACTCTTCTTGAACAAACTACTCCAGCTGTCTCAGGTTTTAAGGGTGCCTTCTCCAGACCTCATGCTTGAGCTCTTTCCATGGATCTTTGATAAGTTTCACTCCCATGGACCTTAAACTTCTTAATAATATTTGGAATTACAGTCACACGCACATCAAGCTGCTTGGTAATGGTCTTATAGCCTTTAACTTTGACATGTTGGGCTATGATATTCTTTGTGATCTCCTCAGACAAATTTCTTCTTTGCTTTCTGTTAAAACCAGATATTGAAATATGTATGTGTGAACCTTAAATGATGATTGATTTTCTATATTTTAATCTATCCAAGTTTGGAGATTCAGTTTTACTATACTGCTGATTTTGAGTTACAATTGGTAATCAATCGGTAAGCTGACAGGCAGACCTAAGTATAGTTGAAACAGTTGTTGGGAATGCCCAAAGAAGACTTGGCCTTCAAAATGAGTTTGAAGAATAAACCACATTACTCAGGACATAGACTATGATGCCCAAAATGGGATAGAAGGAGAACACATGACTCAGCTACTAGAGTATGGCACTCCCTTATGCTAATCAGAAAGACTTTTAAGGTAAACATCACATAGGTTATTTTAAAGTAAAAGCATGGATAAAAGGATGAGGGATGATCCTTCAGGGGACACATTCACACACACACACTCACACACTCATTCACACTACAGACACACACACACGCACAGCATCACACAGACACACCCACACTCACATTGAATAGACAGACAACTGTTAGGACTATTTTTACTTACTAACTAAAGCCACGTTTCTTAAGCATCTTATAGATTTCTGCTGTAAGATATACTATATTTTGTAATCATCAAGCATCTTATAGACTCATTCTGTAAGATATACCATATCCTGTAATATTTTGTAACTTTAAATTAAACACATTCTGAACTTTATGCAACAACGGAAACAATCATCTATTATTGAACTTTTCCACCCTATGCTTCGAGAAAAGGAATATGACATAAAAAAATCATATTTCGTGTCAATTTTCTTACACTTTCTTTGACCAACATTCAGTGTGGTGCACACAATAATACTAAATAGCAAAGTGACTACTTTTCTCCAGTGACTGATTACACGATTGCAGATATGTGAGATACCGTACTACTTACATAAAACAGTTAGTTTAGCTGAGCATACACTAACAGAATTTTTTGTTCACCCCTGCAGGCTGATTCCTCCATCCGTTGTAAACAGCATGGATGGACGAATCTCCCACCGTGGTTATTGCTTTCTAACGGCTTATAAATCATGAATAGAGAATAAGACATAACAAAAGCTTCATAAACACTGCACTTGTAAACACTTTGTTGACATATACAGGAGGATTACAAATAATCCCAGGTTTGGAAAAATGAAATCCAAAAATGTAATTTTACTTTTGTAACTATAAAATTCAGTGTCAAAGTTTCAGTCCAGATCCACTTACATTACAACCAGATCACCAGAGTAAATTTAAAACAAATATTTCCATTTTCTTTAATATCAGAAGTGCTATAATATACATTAAAAGCAATTCTACAGTATATAGCAGGAGGGTCAAATGTAATGTGACTAAACTCAGGAGTTAAGGCCTCATTCAAACACAACGCAAGAACAAAATTGTATATTGCATATATACGCGTATGTATACGCATAAGCGCACGTACATGCTTGCCTTATATGCAATCCCAGAATGCATCACTCGTAATAGAAATTTTAATGTGCTGTACGCATGTACGCGCGTATAAATCATGTCTAAATTTGTGCTGACACTGTCCTTCCTTCTGGAGGGTGGCTACTTTTGTTCCCCATGGTCCCTGTGTGTGTTGTAATGTAGTCACCGCTCCAAGGTCACTCATGTGATGGACTACATTAATACAAATTAGTAAACTAAAGGTGAGTATCCTTGGAGTGGTTACATACAGTACATTAACTAATAACAAAAATCTAGTTTATTTGGTCATCACTCGGCTGTAGATCCTCATCTCTGAATTGGTGCCGACACTGTCCTTCCTTCTGGAGGGTGGCTACTTTTGTTCCCCAAAGTCCCTGTGTCTGTTGTAAAGTAGCCACCCTCCAGAAGGAAGGACAGTGTCAGCACAAATTCAGAGATGATTTGAGGATCTATAGCCAAGTGATGACCAAATAAACTACATTTTTGTTAATAGTTGTACTTGAATGCATGTTTAAGATTTAACTCCTTAATTTAGTGTCACTTTACCTTTCAACTAAAGGCAAGATTTCAATTTTTTAGTATCATAAAATGTATAATCTGTAAAACACTGCCTCAATTGTAACATAAGGAGTTTAATTGTGCTGTGCATGAGCCAGTTGTCAGTAAGGGGTCATTCTCATTACAAGCAATTAAAATCTTACATGTATCTAAGCCTTTTGGGCTAATGTCAGATGGGTTTTTTAACTTAAGAGTTAGAGATAGAGCTAGGTAATTAACATAGCTCATTCTCTCTGCTGATCGCTGTATTTATTTCTGCAATTAGGCTGTAAATTACTCAACTTGTCTAAATATTTTATGCCTTATGGTATCATTGATAGAGCCTAATTTTGCTAGAGAGTTCACTCAAGCTGCCTGTCTGTACCTCACTGTTCAGTCAGGTTTAGTCATTGTGCATTATCACGGAGTGTGTGTTAAGTAAGCGGCCTTTGGATCATATGGGGGTAACCTATGCCCCTTAAAGAAAATTATGAATTAGGGATGCACCTATACTTGTTTTTCAGTATCCAGTACGAGTACCAATATTTTTTTCGTACTCCCCGATACAGGGCGGCATGTCATGACCCACCTCCTGGCTTCCTGATTGGCTAGCTTCACTTGTTGCTAGGTAGTGCAGCTTCCTGACCAATAAGGAAGCTGGGACGCAAGACATGACGTGCCGCCCGACTTCCTGATTGGTTAGGAGGCCATCCTGCCTATCAACAAGTGAAGTTGGCTTTCTAGCCAATCAGGAAGCTGGGCGGCATGTAATGACCCACCTCCCTAATTGGCTTGGAAACTGGCTTCACTTGTTCCTATGCAGCCTGGTTTCCTCTCCAATCAGGAAGCCAGGAGGCGGGTCAATACGTGCTGCCCGGCTTCCTAATTGGTTAGGAAGCCATGCTGCCTAGCAACAAGTTAAGCCAGCTGCCTAGCCAATCAGGAAGCCGGGAGGAGGGTTATAACCCACCGCCCGGCTTCCTGATTAGAAAGGAAGCTGGCTGCATGCTCCCACAGCACTGTCAGTCAGAGGGAGATCTCCCTCTGACCAGAAGTTCCAGTATCGGAGGTAAGTATCGGAGCAGTTGGATGAGTACGAGTATATACTCGGCATCAGCACCGATACTGATACTAGTATCAGTATTGATTCATGCCTATTATTATTATTATTAACCCTTCCAGTGGGGCTACCTGTGCACTGCAATGTTTAAGTGCTTGTTTCTGTCTAGGGAGGAGAATAAAAAAATAAACAAGTTATACTTGCCCAATCCTCTGAGCTGGCTCGCTCTTAAACCGGTCCCTGGAGACTCTCTCCCCCTCATTTGTAGCAGTCTAAGGTCACGTAAATCATCACATTCTATACACAGTATATAAACATGAGAACGCCTGGGTACACGTCATCGCTTCAGTGGAGGACGAGACAGGCAGGAGGGATCGCTTTTACGGCCGCCATCGAAGGATTGAAGATCGGGTGAGTATAACTTTATTTTCAGCCCTAGACCAAAGCGAGCAGTTAACCCATTTAGTGCGGGGGTAGCCCCACTGCAAGGGTAAATAATAATTTCCCCCAGAGTTCTGCTTTGAAGCAAGAAAATGTGTACAATCTGAAAGCTTAACGTCTCAGTTGACCTTATACTACTTTTAGTGGAGAAGGGGGCTTAAGCAACAGGGGGCAGGATGCTAGTGCTAATTTATCAGGTGGAACCCATTATAATCAAAACAGTTTTTCTAAAACTTTTTCTAGACTCTTATCCTCTGACAGCCATCCAAACAAAACCTTGGCTGCTATAGCCAAAACAGCTGGATTTGGTGACCGTCATCTCATATCTATGCATACCCTACGTGTAGTACTATTTAAAGAATAAAGTATTAAGGATTCATGTAACCTTTATAAAGTATTTAACAGGCTGAATCCAACTAACCAGTAAACATCTTCTGCAGTGGAGCACACAATTCGAACACACTCAGACTATGGTAAGAATAACATTCACAAATGTTTGAAACAATGACAATAGGATTCCTAAACATAGGAGAGAGCTAAGAACGTAGAACAACAGCAGAGTTTCTATGGGTAACATACTTACTTGTTAGCAGGCAGAGGAGGAAGAGATACTCGGTGTAGGATACCATTCCTATAAAGGAAAATTAGAAGATTCACATCATTGTAATTCTCTTATACAGTAAGAAATGTATTAATAAACAGACAGTAAAAACACAAGCAGACAGCCAACTGATGCCCTGTCTTAAAGCGACTCTGTTTCTGAAATCTTTACTCGGTTAGGGAACTACAGCTCAAAGAAACTCAACATTTGGCACTTCTGGAAGTATTGAATGCCTGCATCCCCCCGCTGCACGATGTGGTTCAATCCGCTAGCCCCTACATTGCTACTGTAGTGACGTTGTGGCTCGAGAATGGAACCGCCGTACACAGCAGCGAACATGGCTAGAAGTGTGTTGGATGTGAAGATTCTTTTAGGCAGTCATATCGCTTCAAGGTAGCGAAGATTTCAGGAACAGGCGGTGGGACAGGTGAGTAGTACTTTTATTGCAGAAAAATTATTTTTAATTTATTTTTAAGGCAACAGAGTCACTTTAAGCCTGATTAGTAAGGCTACTGAGTGTCAAACACAATAGAAAAAATGGTATATGGTGCTAGTGCAGGGGTAGCCCCATTTTTTGTTTGCCCGGAGATGGGCTAAGAGTCGTAGAGAGAATACAGCAACACTATTTTTGCTTTAAAAACAGAATCTGCCCAGCTTTGTCAAAACCTAAGCAAATTCATCAACTCACATTTAGCTTTGCTGCTAATTTCCATGCAGTCTCTTAAGGGCTCATTAACACCTGCGGCCATGTTCTAGCATTGAGCTGGTGTGTGCTCTGAAGTAAACAGTGCCATTGTGTCGTACGACGCACTGTACTGTACTTTTTTTTTCAACCTTGTTGAAATGCCAAAAATAAAATGTATTCATATTTATTCACTGCACCACGCTGCAATGAGGGTGCATCGCAAAGTGACATTTAATTCAGTTCTATTCACCACAGTTTGTTGCAATGCAGTGTAGTGCATTGTAACAAGCTACAGCGGGAAAAAGTACTGCATTTTGCTGCGGTGGGGTGAGCTGGCTTTATAGTACACTGGGCAAATTGCCTTGTCTATGCATTGGCACTGTGCTGCGCAAGGTTGCCCAGCGCATCCCAACGCATCTGGTGTGAACAGGCCCTACATTTTTACAAATATCATCGATGTACAGCTAAAGGGGGCTGTACACAAAATATACAACTCAGCAAGAAATACAGATGTAAAACCATTCATTGATAAGATCATAATTCTGCATGCTAGCTTGACTTTTATCCCTGGTAGTTTGACTCACTCTGAAGCAAAGTTGTATTTCATCTGTCCTTCTTACTAAACATAACTATTATGTGTACAGTTTAAAACCTGCCACAAACACGGCCCGAATATAGCACATGCTCATGGCCTTTGGTCTTGACGTATGGAAGATGTTTTATTGTTTTGAGACTTTCTTTTCTTTGATGTTCTATTGACTGCATACAGTATATAGGGTTAAGGTCATTATGCCTACCTAACATTTCATCAATTGCACTTTTTAATGAATGTTTATAGGTATGCAAGTTAATTTATTTCAAAATAATAAATGTTAAACTCCTACTGTGTTTAAAAAAAAATAATGCTACATTAGTAACAGAACACCTCTGATATCTACAGCCTAGGGCATATGCCCTGTCCACCCTATTCTGCAGCCAACTTGTGGGGCATACACTCAGAATGCTTTTGTTTCAGGGTTTTACAAAGCATCAGGTTGTCAGTCAATGATGTTATAACGGCCACACTGAGCACACTGATCTTACAAAGGCTTTACACCTTAAATGGAAGGATTGTTTTCTAACAAACACAAACACGGCACCTTCCTTATGTACTGTTAAGCTTGTGTATCACTTTGCAGTAGTGTGGGCATTAGCCACATAATTGACTTGATAAGTGCTTTAGAAACCAAATGGGGAAAAAAACTGTGAGGCAGATTCCCTTCTGGCTATCAGATGTATCCAGAAGTGGGTTGATAAAGTGGTGTAAGTCTATAACGTTAGAATACGTTAGAGCCATTTGTTTTATATTGGGATTTCTTTGTTTGATGCCACACTCTTTGTTGTGAAACAAAGACAAGTTGAGCAACTGTCAGGCAACATGTCAGCTGAAGTGAAGGCACCTATCTCAGTGTTCCTGAAAGCATTCCCTCCTTTTGTCTGTAGCACTAGATTCTAGCCTTGGGAAAGAGATAGTTCTGCTTGATTGCTCTGAGTGTTATGGGAGAAAGACATTGGAATGGTTATGGCTCAGTAGGCAGGTCCACTGCGGGAATGGAACTGAGGTTACACAAACCAGGGTATCCCAACTAATGTTATGGGCAACATAGGTAAGCTAATAATAAATAAGGATTTATGAGTATGTTTTGTTCATAGCAACCCACTGCATTCCACATCTCATTAATACCAAGAAATACAAAAGGAAAATTATATGAAATGACCTGCTTGTAATCTTCATATGGATGTGTGAAGGAACAAGGAACAATAAATGCCATGAAGATAAAAAACAGTATTGCCTATACTGTTGTCTGTACCATATGCTGGAAACCCCAGGATAATTCATTCAGAAAAATACCACTCTAGACAATTGTTTAAGTTGGAGCTTTCATTTGTGCCTTTGAAGATCATGAGACGACTTGGTTTTGTTCCCACTGAGTGAACATCTGTCTGGAAAGATGCAAGCACACACACTTAGCAAGATGACCATGAACTCCAACAGCACAACTTTGGGTCCAGGCCCCTAGAGCAATTAAGATGTGCCACCAGTTAACAACTGCAGAAGACTCTCCAAGGAGTCTCCAAAAGCGGCTAGATGTAAGACTGGTGGATATATCTATATTGATATGGGTGGATATATTACAGAATATCTACAAAAAGTCCTGGCTTAGAAAAGAGCTGAGGAAAACCTAGTTCCCTGCCTAATGTATTTGTTCCAATCACATCATTGTCCCTAGAAATTAATTTACAAAACTCCAAAAGAAAATGCTACATTTATCTGGAGACACAGGAGATGCAGCAGACTTTAAATACTTACTGTATATCTTAAATGACTCAGAAAGCAGAGCCTTTTTTAACCTCTAGGCAAATTATTTGGTCAGTTAAAGGGACATTAAACCCTCAGATTTTTTTAGCATAAAACAATACTGTAATGTGTGCCTTACTGTAATCCATGGTTGTTTCCCTTCTCTGCTGCTCTTCCTTTTAAATCTGAATCTCTTCTCATGCTGGGCAGAACTTCTGTTCTGCAGCAGACTGCCTTGTCTCTGAAATGGCTACATGGTGTCTGTGTGTAGGTTTGCAACCTGAGCCAGCACTACAGGAAGAGGCAGTCAGCTGCAAAGGGAAGTTCTCCCCAAGCATGAGAAGACATTAGGATTTAAAAGGAAGAGCAGCAAAGATAAGGGAAACTACCATGGATTACAGTAAGGTACACATTACAGTATTGTTTTATGTTAAAACATCTGAGGGTTTAATGTCACTTTAAGTTAAATTGCATCTTTGTACACTATTACCCAAAGCTCAAATAGGTAGAAACACAGGATCTTCTGAGAATCTACGACTGAGTTTTCTTCAGAGTTCACTCTGTTCAGGCATGAGACCAATATTCTCTGTTTAAACTGCGGCCCCAGGTTTTGGCATGGCTGCGGCAGGTTGAGTTATTTTTTTTTAGCTTAGTTGATGAGGAGATCTCCCCATATGAGTCCTGGAGAACCATGAAATCAAAGTCAGACAACCCTGCACCTCCACCAAAAAGTAAAACATGTTAATTAAAGTGACATACAGTACTTGAGTGACTTTTGGTTCTTGCAACGCTATGCAAAAATTGGATTCTAGAAGGTAATGATTATAATAAGATTAAATTGTACAAAACGTTGTATATGTAATATTTGTTGTTTTTCACGTAAGCTTAGGGATGGTGGTACACATAATATAGAGTTCTTCTCTGCTTACATTTACAAATCAATAATTTATCCAATATGACATATAACACATTACCGTACTACTTACATTCTACACTTCCTCTCTGCTCTATTAAAATATAGCAAATTCATTGTTCTCTCAAAAGCAACTGTTATAATGGGAAGTTGTATTACAGAAACTAGTTATTCTGGAGCAAACCAAAGTTTAATGAGAAATAGAAACAAAAAACTGGATCCCAGAATCTGTTTTAGTCATTGTCGATTGCTACATGTTACTTTTGACTGAATCCCTAGTAGGGCTGCTGAAGAGTTAGTTTCTGCAAAAACTTTTCAACATCAACATGCAGTAAAATTAAAAGATATTTTTTTCTACTTATAGAGCAAACGTAACCTTTTCTAACATAAATATGGGGGCTGCCATTACTGACCTCCTTCTGAACTGTTATGACTCACTGAATTTAAAGCAGAAATTAGTTCTCAAAAATAAGGTTCATCGGTAAAAGACATTTTGTATGTAATTTCTCGTTCTGTTTCTATTAGCGTTTTATTTGTATTACACTGCTTGTGGTGCAAATGCAGTATACGCACGAGTTGAGACTAGTTCCAAGGTGATGCAACTCTATTACACATGCAGAAGAGCTGCATCATCATAAGATGCCTTATGCCTGAACAAGAAAAATCAGGGCAGCAGAAGAAGCATCTGAGAAAATTGCAGCAAGATTAGAAAGTTGTAATTACTGGGAAACAGCTTTACATACTAGCACAACATGGCAAGTGCCCTCATTGCACCCTCAGGCCCTAGGTTTTACTTTAACACTTAGGATGTACTAACATTAGGTGTTTTAGCCATGTCCAGGTATGGTTTATCCTTTGAGTCCGGTTCATTTTTGCAGTTTGAGCGATCTGAACTACATCCAGGCACGTTTAATTGTACGGTGCCAGGGACCACTTCGAAGAGATGGTCTGGTAAGGTTTGCTTCAGAGTAAGCGCAAACTGTGCCCAAGTACTAAAATATCAATGATCACAGACCACAGAAGGAGGGATAACTGAGGTCTGGCTGGCAGAGAAGGGGATGTAAGCCAGCCCAGGAATGCTTCTTATAGCAGAG